CTTGAATTCGCTGGCCAGTCTTCTACTAACAATCATGAATTAAACTGCGTCGACAAAACTCGTCTCTAGCCTGCCTCAGCCCAGGACACCCTGTTATCCACATTTCTTGGGATTTCAGTGCGAGGTAACTGGATAGCTCTGTGGTTGGAATCAGTGGTATTCTAACGTGCCGAGCTTTTGCTGGAACTTTTCTTTCGGTCTCCGCCACTCGGAGACGAAACTTTTACCTGAAGCAATCTGAAATTCCAGCTAGCTTCAGTGGTGTCAACTTCCAAGTAAACATACAGTACTTGAATCTGGATTACGAATCTAAGACGAACCCATTCCGAATCTAAATAAGTCCTTCTAGAAGTAAACCCCGCTGATATGTTGGGATTTATGTTTAAGAATCCTCGGAAATTCCGTGTGTTTTCTTTTTAAACTAAGTTTTTGAATGAGGCTGAGATTTGGTAAGCCTTTCTGTCATTTGTCCATTGCAATTTTTGGAAGCTCGAGTTTTAGCTACCTGCAAAGATACGCTTTGAACGGACCGTCTGCCTTTGCTAACCTCTGATCCCTGAATCTGAAGATGGGCCATTTAGTTTTGGACTGTGCCCCCCAAATTGAAACTGGGCAGCCTTGTTTGGAATTCAGTCACCAAAGGGGTTGGGTGAAAAATGGTTTCTCACAGCAATTCCGAAATTATTCCCTCCCAATCTTTCTATAGCCTGCTTTCTTCTCCTGGAAATATCTATTCCAAGACATTGTGATTCCCAGACTCTAGAAATCCCTCCCACAGGAAGCCAGGCTGGCCCCATCTTTGCTGTCCTTCCACAAGCAGGCGTAGACCTTTCTCTTCAGATAGACTTTCCCTAAGTGACTAAAGAAGGATTTTAATATGGAATGGTCTGTATTTTTGTTGCTTTTGAATCTGTTTTAGTAATGCTTTTACCTAACTTTTAAATATAGTGTCTAATTAATTCCTTTTAAATATTTGAATTACTTAATGTTTTTAGCTTTTTAAACCTACCTTTCTAACGATACAAACATCTTTTTTTAAGGAGAAAGGCAGTTAAAAATATTTTAAATTATTAAATGCCAGCCTGAATAGCATCCGTCTTTGATCAATAGGCAAGGAGTAATCACTGGCCCTTGAAGTACAGTAATAGCTCTCCCAAAAACTCAACTAGGTTTTCTTTTCTGCCTGCTGCCAAATGGAAAGCACCTCCCCAAGGAAAAACAACAACAACACTCATTCTTGAATGTATGTCTGTTTGTATTAAACTGCCCAATTCTGATTTTTGATATGTGGGAAAGCACACTAAGAAGCAGGCTGATACTAAGCACTTTTGCTCCATAGGATAAAATAATACTTAACACTGCTATTATTATTATTATTATTATTATTATTATTATTATTATTATTATTATTATTATTATTATTATTATTATTATTATTATTATTATTGTTGTTGTTGTTGTTGTTGTTGTTGTTGTTGTTATTGTTATTGTTATTGTTATTGTTATTGTTATTGTTATTGTTATTGTTATTGTTATTGTTATTGTTATTGTTATTGTTATTACCACCACCTCTGGTTTATGTAGCATAAATTTATCTAGGCAAAAAGCACACGAAATATAGGCAAAAAGGCATATGGGTACTTCTGCTTTATGTGGGCAGGGGAAAATCTAAAGCTTCTACTGTATAGGCAAAAGGCGAATGGCAGTCGGAGGGTTGAAGTCAGCCAAGCTCCGTCGCCTTCGGAAGGAATGGAGACCAAGCCCCGCCGCTCAGACCAAGTAGGGGAACCTATCGATATCCAGGGAGAGGAGGTAAAGAAAAACGGAGGCGAGTTGGCTGGGAAATCCAGCGCTCTAAAACTCGTCATTTTTGGCAGGTGAAAGCGGCTAGACCCGGTAACCGACGTGCTTGTAACGCTAGGCGAGGTCTTCCCCGCCCCGGCCATTCACTGCGGCACCTCCAAAGGAGGGCATTGGTTCTGCTGACCGAGCGCTTTCCAGTTCCTGCCATCGCGACCACCCCTTCCGAGGAGCCGAGGTCACTGACGCCTTCGGTCCTCGCACGGCGCCGTTTTCTGTCGAAGTCCCAGGCACCGTCCAGCCACCGCCAGGGCCACGGATGTCCGTGGGAGAAAGAAGCATATGTAGCCAACTCTCTCCTGTTAAACCGGTCGTTTGAAAGGACCACGTAATTTCTGGCTGTTTTTCCCCCCCCCTTCCCCTGGTTCTTTACCGGAGGAACAGAAAATGTTGCCATTTTTGCAGCATTTGGGTTTTTTTTAAAAGGGGGAAGGATGAAAGTCCCCTTAATTCATCTCCTCCTGATCCTTTTAGGCACTTCGATAAATCCTAGTAAAATTAATAGAAATACACCCAAGTTCAGCATAAGCGTGTCCATCTACAGAAATAATAAAGGCTGACGTGGTCAAGTGGGGGGCAACCTTTGGCCCGCTCCCTTTAATTCTTTATGCAGATCTCAATGCCGTGGATCGCCTGGTCTACTTTCGGGAAAACGAAGTTAAAAACCGGTGATGTTGCTTTCCGTGCCATCAGAATCTCTGCTGTCACCATCCTCAAGTCTGCGCAGTCCTCTTATTGACGACATTTCCTTTCAAGCTCAGGCCACCATTGGCTAGACGGGCTACTGGATTTGCCGTAAATATACTGGATACACTGTAGCGCTGCACACCTGTTTATGGCATTAGTAAAAATAAAGGCATAATGAAGACAAAGTCCAGCATTTTAAAACTTCTGGAATCGATTAGCTGGGGAGGGGGGGGCTTTGCTGCCGGGATTAACCTTCTCATGGAACATAATTTTGGAAGGATCGTGACCTAAATATTTCATATATTCTGCGACTACTGTAATCCTAGGCATGCTTCCTGGGGGAACAGCCTGATGGTTCTTCCTTCAGAGTAAATGCGCTAGGATAGAACTGCTTGTGCACATTGTAATCACACATCATTGAAACGTCTCCTGTGTGGATCCACCAACCCACAAATACGTTTTTCATCTGCAAGAAATTCTGACGCACTAGTTGTATTTGCCCCAGATCTCCCCATCCTTTTTAAAATTGACGGGCTACATATTTTTGCCATCTGTTAACACAAGTTTAAAAAGGTCTTTATGTGACTATGTTTTTAACTTTCAAGTCCTGCGTCATACTTAGTCAAACTATGGACCAATCGAACTCAGCCATGTCTTTTCCTCGTGGTCCAGCAGCGGATCTCCAGTGTTCTCGAGAAGGGTTCCAGACTCAGATCTTGGAAAAGTTAGTTTTGGGGGAGGTTTGGGCCATCACGTGCCAGAACTCTCTGCTACAATGGATGCTTCCTGTCCGGGCTGAGAGACTCTCGGAGAGGCAGCCCCCCTGCACCATACGTTTTCTAAATTCTGCTTCTGTTCAGACTTACCCGGGCTTACTAGGAACCGAACCGGGGATCTGTGGTCTGCCAAGCCTTCCCTTTCCATCCTGACATGAGAGTTTAGATAGATAGATAGATAGATAGATAGATAGATAGACAGATAGATAGATAGATAGATAGATAGATAGATAGATAGATAGATAGATGTATTTAAAGAAATGAAGGTTACAGACAGACAGACAGACAGACAGACAGACAGACAGATAGATAGATAGATAGATAGATAGATAGATAGATAGATAGATAGATAGATAGATAGATAGATAGATAGATAGATAGATAGATAGATAGATAGATAGATAGATAGATAGATAGATAGTGATCACAGCCAAAAATGTTTAAGCTGAACTGGGAAACAGATGCCTCCTTCCTTATCTCCTAGGCAAATACTGTACTTAAAAGATCTCTTAAAAGGGACAGCGGAAGAACTTGGGCTGAATGAGGATTTTCTCATTCGCCCGCGGCTCGCGGCGGGCCAAGAGACTGGGAAAGAGCCTGAGGCCACACGGCTCTAAATCTGATAGGTTTGCACCTCATCCTCTGACCAGGGTGCAGGAGTCGGGATCATTCCTGATCACAGGCGCGAGTCGCGGCCTTTCCTTCTCCTTGGAAGGAGGCGCACCGTGGAGAGCAAGCGGGCGGCGCCGCGACCGGGAACCCCACGGGCCCCGCAAGGCGGATTCCACCACCAAGTGCAGCCGGCGAGACTCTCTCTCTCTCTCTCTCTCTCTCTCTCTCTCTCTCTCTCTCTGCGTGGGAGGCGCGCGGCTTACCCGCAAACTTTCTCCGGGCCGCCTCTGCTCCTCTGATTGGTCAAGGGCTGACCAATCCGCTGTCAGAAGAAGCTCGGCCTCTGTACGCTGAGTTAAAAAAAAGTTAAGGAAGGCAAAAAAACAAAAAAAGTTTGGGAAGTTGCTTCGGCCGCCGAGAGTGGGCGGGCGGGTCCTTTTCGTTTTCTCCCGCCCTCCCCTCCCCTCCCCTCCTTTGACCGTTCCTTCTTCCAGCAAGGGGAGTTTCTGGGGTGCGTGCGTGCCTTGGCTTGTTGTTATTTGGTTTGACGCGCCTGCCCTTTCCCAGCTGCTGCCTCGAGGAGCGTGGCGTGGCCTCGGTTCGCCTCCGGTGATGCGCCCGGCCCCGGAGGCATTGCCCGGCTGAGATCTC